CTGCTGGCTATTTTTTTTTTTGGAATAGAGTTGGCAACACCTGGCTGGGTTTTTTGGTTGGATGCTTTCAAAATCTAGCTTACTCCCATCCATTTGACTAATCCAGCAGTTATGGAGCAATATTATCATTCATGCTTCTGGCCACCTGATGAATATATTCCAACATTGACCTTTTGGAGAGAAATATATGGCGCTTTAGCTGCTAGATGTTCAACCTTCTTCACCAGCTTGTCTCTAGTCTGCTGTTTGGTGCTGAGCAGGTTCTGTATTTTGGGTTTCAAGAGCTTTTTCTCTGAGAACAGCAGTTGAGCTGATGAGAGTGGTGAGAGTGAACCAAAATAGGAGCATTTCAGGCCATAACACCTAAACAATGATCTAAAAAACACTGAAAGAGTGCTGAGGAGCGCTGCAGAATGATAGTTGCTAGTTCTCAATGTGTTTGTTACTGCCAGCAACCTCTTTCATATTATCCATGTGCTCCATGTTGAAATAAAGGTATGCATTATGGCATTATAAATGGGCTAGGGGCTGTGATGTTTCCTTGTTTTGGTTTTGACATGAGCCTTTAATTGGTGGTTTTCATCTATAGTTTGAATTTATAACTGCTTATGTTAACCAACTCAAACTTTCAAACTCATTTCTTAATCTATGAACCAGAAAACGTTTTCCAAAATAATTTTTTTTCATTCACTGCTGACTTGGTTAAGGTGAAACATGCATTTATATCATTTATTTTAAAATGATATAAATGAGTCCGAATTCCCTCTCCTCTCTACATTTAGTACAGACTGCAGCAGCAAGACTTCTCACAAAATCTACTAGACTTGACTTTATTTCTTCTGTTTTCAGCTTCGCTGGGCAGGTGGATTTTAGACTCATCATTTTTAACATTTCATTGATCGCCTTTAAAGTCTTGTGCTGGCCGTGGCAAACATCTCGGGTTAAATCCCATCACTCTTTTAAAAACATGGTGTTACCTCATTCTTGTACTTCTCTTACTTTTCTCACTGGTTATTTCATGTTTCTGGTTTCACTATTTCTTACCAACTTGGTGCATTTTTTGACACGGTTAATTACGTATATGTACTGTATATGTGGAGACACAAAGTGACTTGAGATTTGACTTGGACTTGCAAAAAATGACTTGTGAGCATGTCTGGGTGGATGTGTTGAGTTACAGTAGATTATAAACTGTCATTAGTTGGATGGTTGAACTCTGTTATGGAAAAACAGGTTGAGGTTGTTATTGCATGCCTAATAATGATTGCAATATTACACTGAGTGGCGGAAAATACAGTTATTTACTTGACATGAAAGATTTGACTTGGACTTAAAAATAATGACTTGAGCATCTGTTTGTTTATACAGTTTATGTACATGTTTAGGTCATTTGGCACTAATTATGTTCAAATTTTGCACCTCTAAATTATTTCACCAAGTCTCTTGGTCAGTACGCAGCAAATACTGTATGCACAATGTATTCCTGGAAAAATGCATTTGTCTACAGGTCAGTGTACAGTTCAACATAAACTGTACTTTGAAGTAGCTTCTTCTGGAAATCAACATCTGCTTTTAAACTCATTTTAGTAAATTAACTAAAATACCAGTATTATTACTCTTGCGCAACAATTTGTTGCAAACCGCATAATTATTTCTAAACTGTTTTCTAGAAATGATAAGTAACAGACCAGTAAAGTGTTATGAAACTAGTTTAATATATCTATTATACAGTTACTAGACATATTTTCTAAAATTAGTTTCTAGGATTATGCTGTCTCAACACAGTTCTGATTTCCCATCAAACAGTATCTGCATGTTTCACCAGTGTTTCGGCTTGGTGGTTGTATCTCTCTGCAGCTCTGTGAACCCCTTTGAACTTTGTTTTGAAAAGTATTATGTAGCTTGTAGTGTAGCAATATTTATGCAAAGCTGCTGTTGCAACTGCTTGAAACATTAAATGCCACACTTTCAGGACTCTACACAGAAAAAACAAGAGCTAAAAATTTAGGTGGTGACTAATTGATGTTTCAGTGTGGCTAGAGATAGAAACTGTCAAAAAGAGTTGAGATCCCAGGAAGGCTGCCTTAAATGAAGGAATACATGTTCGGTATGTGAATCAGGCTAAAGGGACACAAAAGCGTATACTTATAGTTTAAAGGATCTAATAATCATGTTAAAACAAGTGTGTATTACAGAAATATGAAGTGATTTAACAAATGTAAACTGATAATAATGTATGTGTAGAAACTTGAGTAAAGTGAAGTCTGTGTGTAGTGAGAGCCGAGGTTAGGGGAAATGCAACTGGGTGGGGGCCTTAACAGCTGAGGTCATAACAGATGTAACCGGACACACACACTCGGAGCATTGAGGAAGAGAGCACACACAGGAAAGTTTGGGTGGTTTCCGAACCCATATACAGAATCAATGATGTAATGATAATCACCAGCTGTTCGTGGACAAAGATTGAAAGACGGAGATTTTCCTCTCCCCCCTGTTTGACTTTAACAACCGGACAACGGAAGGACACAGCCGCCCGGACTTTGTACTGAGCCTGAAGGATCGCTGAACGGACTTTGTTGGCCTGTGCAGGAGGAGCTGACGGTTCGGCCGGACCTTCGCTCCTAAAGACCCCCAAAAGGATTTGTCGTTTCTTCAATCCAGCTCCACCGAGCCGCCTCGGCATTGAAACTAATGAGTATAATCTAACAAGAAATTGTAAACTTATCAAATCAAGTATAGTATTATTTTATGTGAGCTGTTGCTGTGCCCCTGCTAATATATCCTGCAATAAATATCTAATCTGCGTTTAAAGTAAATTTCTCAAGAGACTTCATTCACTTAGATAAGTAAAAGTTCCTCGTGGCAGTAAAAGGTTAAATCTATTGTATGTTTAACAACAAGAGTTCCGACTGGTTATCCTAGTGACCGGTCCACTTAACAGTCCCTTACGGTTTTAGTTGTAATCCTAGCCGTTAAAATCTAACCTGGCAATTTACCAAGAGCCCGGATCCAGAAGAGGAAAGCTGCCATCAGGGGCGTCGTTAGGCCTATTTTAGGGGGGCTCCTAAACGTTTGTATGTTTTCTCCCCCTTCAAATTACAATCCAACATTCTATCATCATACTTAACGATATAAAGTTGACACTGTCGGGTCCATTGTGTGCGGTCCCTTTAAGAATTAGGATTTGGGAGCTAGTTTATCCGTCTTTCCTTTACAAGCAGGAAAATTATTTCTCTCTTTATTTGAGAAAAGTTCATATTTGTGTTGACAAATTTCACTATGACCCTGAAATTGTGTCTCTTGTGTTATCATATACTGAATGCAAGCAAAACTACAGAGCAAAATCACTCTTTCTGATTGAACCAATCTATGAACTGTCTGAAACAACGGATATCCACGGCCCCAAATGGGCCCCAAAAAAAATTGTTTGTACGGGTGCATGCCACTCCCCTTGGGGCTAAGCCCCCCCTGTCTTTCAATCCGAGAAACTCCCCTGGCTGCCATAACTGACTCGACTGGTAGAAGCGCCCGGCCTGGGTGGCCCCTCGGCCGAGTGCAGGTTACCGGTGGAAGCAGGGTAGACCTCAGGAGTAACGGTAGTTAGCAGAGCCAGGCGAGTTTCCTCACAGAACACCAGCTCGCCTATCTTTTAATAGAGCTGAGTAAATAGTTAGCCCCGTATCGGGCCAGTGAACCCCCGGATCTAACAAAACAAATCACCATTTATTGTGCTACATGTGCACCTATAGAGGGCTTTGATACACAGTAGGCAGCAGCACACACTCAGCATGGATATGTATACACTACCAAGACACTAACAATGAAAAAAGAGCGGCACAGATTCAGCACCAGAGCTGCAATTATCCAAAAATGAAAACTACTTTGCCTCTGTTCTGAAGGTGAAATCCATAATGTTTATTCAGGTAATGTAGTGCATACACATTTTAAGCTGCGGCTACAGAAGCTCAACTTCACAAGGAAATAATTCATTTTTGCTTTTAAGAATGCATTTTACATAAAGGATTATTAAAAGAAAACGTACGCGCACAATATACCTCACTGGTGTTTAAACAAACCTTATTTATTTACCCCTTTTATATTTATGGAACAATGTAGGAGAAAACGAGAGAATCAAAGGCACATTGAATAAAAGAGAGAGCTGGACAGAATCAAGAAGAACTGGATCAAAAGCAGTTTGATGCATTTACAGCAGTGAGGGTTTGGAAGCTAAACATATGTATTTACAAGTGAAAGTAATATATTGAAAATGTTACTTCATGTAAGTGAAAAAGCGTTTGTGCAAAATGTACTTAAAATATCAAACGTAAAAGGACTCTGAGTGTTATGTAGATCATTATCACTGGTGAAGTGTTAGCCGCAGTAGCTATTTGAGGGGGTGCTAATAACTGCAATGTATGTAATGCAATCAATATGTGCATTGTTAATTAAATTGTCGGGTTTAGTCTTTACATTTTTATTTTATAAGCTTATTTTATGTTTTATTTGTAAAATCATCAGCTGTCAAATAAATGTGTTGGAGTAAAAAGCGTAATATTTCTGAAATGTGAAACGTAGAGGTGTAGAATATGAAATGGAAATACTCAAGCGGTCAAGTTGAAGTACCTTAAATGTGTACAGAAGTGCCGTACTTGAGTAAAAATACCTGGTTACATTCCACCTCTCTGGTTAACAGAGGCTCGGTGTTGGCTCTCCAGGAAATAATCGCTGCTCTCGAATTCATGAACCACCTCGTATTTTACGCAGCGATGGCATGGCGTAGGTTCACTGTACTCCTGAGTAATCCGAGCAGAGATTTCCATCAAATACTGCTCAGCACGAAATAACCGTTCAACAAAACGGCCTTATCACCCTCTTGCAGGTATAGTCTCTTTAATTAACTGCGCCGCGTCTCTCCACTCATCAGCCACCCCTCAAATTCGGGGGGCTTTAAGACCCAGCAGAGGCGCAATCGTGAACATCTGTCCCCTCGGTTTCCACAGTATGAATTGCGCCTGGGCTCCAGTCTGAAGACACACAGGCGGCAGCAGGCAGACTGGCTGAGCGCGGACGGAGTGGATCCGGGATGCGAGCAGATGCCGCTGGACGATGAGAGAAAGTGGAGTCAGACGCACTGAGCCGCAGCGATAAGACAGCGCGCTGCAAAATGAAGACACCTATGGTAAAGGTTTATGCCGTGCAGCACTATATGCCGTTCTTTGTATTCGCTTTTAACATCCAGCAATGTTCAGTTAAGTGCACTCCACTTGCCGTAACGCTGCTGTGTGCGCTGTGTCGGATCAAAAGATTAGGATCTGAACAATGGACATCCAGCTGGGCGCTCTGTTTGGCTCTAAGCTCCGGCTTTTTCTTATAATGAACACAACAGCATGGAGCACAGCGCGCCCTGTGTCTGCTTTTCCTGCGCTTAATGCAGTTGCATAAATCTAAAAAAGTGCATTATGTTTTTTGTTTTTTTTTGCTTTAATATTTCTTGTGTTATTGCATGTTGAGAAATAGATAAAAACATTTGATGCACACAGTTCAAACAAATCAAGTGTCACTATAGCTGCTTATCTTGTGCATCTGTGATTTAGTAGTGATTCATAACCTGGAAGCTCAGACTGATTTGATGCACCGTTTCACTTACGAGGTCAATATATTGACATGAACTTTACTCTGTCGTGTATTGTCACCGTGCAGATGTGCTCCTGTACGGACCTGAGCATTACAATGTATGCATGCAAACTAAGTAAAGATTACCACGAACAACCTGCTGGCATGTTGTCGATGGCACGATTCAGCCTGTGCCCTTACATTAAGTCGATAACAGCGTTTTTTGTTTTTTTTAAAGTCTTGGGCGCACGTGACATGACTTCCAGGAAGTTGGGGTGCTGTTGACAAAACGACGGTGGTGCAGGCTGCCTGTAGGTGCAGCCCGAACTCAGTCCTCTGCATCAGGAATAATTAGATGGCTTCTGTTTGTGTCTTTCTCTCAGCGCCATGGGATATCCGTGCTCCTCGTGCTCCTCCTGTGCGCAAGCTTGTTCCTCGTGTACAACGGCAGCTTCAACGGCGCTTCCAGGGACGCTAACGACACGCACGTCCGACAGCATGAACAGCTGCGGCGGCCCACTGAAGCCCCAGTCAAGGTGGCCAAGCCTCACCCCCCGGTCCTCCAGGGGTACAGTGGCATCATCGACCATAAGGTAAACAATGTGTTCGTGTGCGTCTCCCATAATGCAGAGGGGAGGCGCATGAATGGCTGCAAATGCTTGTCTAATTCGCTGCAGAGCTGGCACCAAAGTAAAGCCAGTTTTACTCCCCCCCCCCCCCCCCTTAGATACTCATTTGTGCAGCGCATCTTCACTTTCTCTTACACACACACACACACACGCGCCTCTCCTGTCTAATGACCAGCAGTCGTCTATCCGCACAGCTCTTTAGTGAGAGTCTCACCCCTCTGTCATTTATCACAATTTTCTCCAGCACAGCGTTACGCCACACTCAATACCCACCTGTCATTACTAATAACAGCTTAGGCTACAAATGAAATCCCTGGCTGCATTCTTGCGCTCTAATTGGTAAGCCCAGGAGACCTGCAGTGAGGTGAACCCTGATGTCACAGCAGGGGTGTATTGACTGCCATCTATTCACTAAGCCAGGAGAAAACAATCAATGTGAGTATTGGGGAGGGAAGGTGCTGCAAGTAAAGGCTTTTTTTTTTTTTTTTTTTTTTTTTTTTTTAAGGCAACATACAAGATGGCATGCTTCTCTGCAGGCACTTTGGTTGATGGGCTGTTGGGCGGCTTGTGTAGCGGTCTGCCCCACTGAGCCAAATGATGGATGCAACAGTTCTCCAATCATTGGATTTAAGACGTTTAAGGTTTAAAGAAATGGACAGTTTTGGGCAGATTCATAGACAGATTGAGACAATAAGCCCCAGCTGAAAGAGATGCGACATGAATCAGATTCTTGTCTCTTTTCTTGTAGTTTTGTGTGGCTCTTTGTAGTCTATTTATGTATGTTTGTACTTGTTTTGCATCTCTCTGGTACTATTTAGCATTCTTTAGAGTTCCTTTGCATCGCTGTAGTCTTTTTGAGTGTCTTTGTTGTCGTTTTGTGTTACTTCATTGTCCTTTTGCATCTCTCTGTAGTAATGTGTCTCTTTGTAGTTGTTGTGCGTCACTGTTGTCATTTTGTGACTCTGGTAGCAATTTAGTTTTTCTTGGAGTCGTTTTACATCTTTCTGGATCTGTTTTTGAGTAGTTGTTTTGCATCGCTGTATGCATTTTGTGTCTCTTTGTAGTCAATTTACTAATATTTCTACTCGTTTTGCTTCTCTTTAGTTTGGCATCTCTATGTTGTCATTTCATTGAGTTTTTGCCAAGAAATGTTAATTACTTCAACCTGAGGCGCAGGAGCCCAAGGACAAGGGGCCTCTGGGCCTGTCCATCTATGGCAGGACTGATAACACTTTGAATGACGGGGCTAATTGGCGCTGCCATCTATTTTTCAAGAAAAGTATATGTTGGCTGCTGAAAGCATGCTTTAAATCATCAGATTATGTCAAAGGTTGATTTGTGTATGAGTAATTTGACAGCCTCCTCCCCGCTCAAGAGGCTGTTACTGCGTGGAAGAGACGAATAAGCAGCATGAACACGTACAGTATTTACCAGAAGTAAGCATATTGTTTGTGAACATCAGAAAAAGTAGCCTGGTTGGGAAATAAATTTAAATTAAACACCAGGTGCTTTGAAGAGTCACTTAATCTTGTGACAAAGTAATGCAGTTTGGCAACAGAAGGTGGAACTATTATTCATTAAAATGAATCTCGTTGGTGAAGGAACTGGCAAGCGTGGAAACCTCTAATGTTGATGACTGTGAGAAGTTCAGCTGGCAGAGTTTTCTCAGGAGAAATGCTGTTCGTCTGTCCACTTAAGTTTCAATTTTGAGTCTCTGCTCTGGTGATGTACACTGTGGACTCACAGCTCACTTTATGTATGGCACCATGTACTTGTAACTAATAACTAACTTGTGTGTGCGTTCATCGTATTTTTTATACGATTTAATCAAGTTGAGCATTAGTTTGGCATTTCAACATCATTTTAAAGCTGCACTCAGGGGATTTGGGCATGCCACTGAAGGGCATCAACACAAGCCGTTCGAAAATGAGTCACATTATAGCCAAATCTGCCGTTTTGCATTTATTACATCGATTTTGCAGACATTTTGATTCAATGTTACACTTTAATCTGTGTATATCTATCTAAAAGTAGACTTTTAGACCTTGAAAGTGCACGATGCTTTTGGAAATTTAGTTTTTGTTTCATTTTCAAGGTATTTTATATCTTACAGAGACAGCAGATAGATACACTGGGGGGGAGAGACGAGGAATGACATGAAGCAAAGCTCCCCAGCTGGGACGCTGTCGTTGTTCATGGTTCGTACCTTATCCCCTCGGCAAACAGAGCGCCCTGAAATGGGTTTGGGTTCGACAAGTAGCTGTGAAGGTTAGAATAGTTCAAATGATGCTTTCTGTGTCCGCACGACCATGAGTGTCTTGACATAAATCACTGTGCCAACCATGCTGTGTGAACATTGTGCAGACATCCAATGCAGTATAAGTTAATTTAACAGTAATGGACTGGTGGGTAGTACGGTTGCTGTCTCGAGATCTCAGTAATTGTGTTGGTATTTGGTTAAAACTACATTTTCTTTGAAGAATGTAAAATGTTAATGTGACTCTGTTTATGAGTGGCATGTGGACGATGGACTCGGTGTGAGACACAACATTGAATAGAGTTTAATATTTGTTGCGGTCAATAAGCCAGAGGCTGTTTCAGCTTCTGGTCTTAGAATCTGAATTATTGCTCAGCTAAGTCTCGCAGTTCTTTCACAGATCTCGCAGATCTGCGCACAAATCGATTTGGAAACGAGTCGTTCATATTTCAAGACAGCTGACGGGGCACGCAGCAGCATCTGTTTTCTCACTGCCTGAAATGCCAATATTCAGTGACAGTGTACATTTTGATTTGATGAGGATTTGTCTGTAATGCGTCGGTAAACCCAGCTTCGGATGAGAATTGATTTCCCCCCCTCTGACAGGAGCAGCCGAGCACCGTGAGTAAACCACCAATTTATTTTTTCTCTTCACAATAAACTTATTGACATTTTAGTGACAAGGGACATCAATTAGGGCCACGGCTCCACTGAACATCATTTATGCTTCTTCAAACCTGCTATTTTATCACCCTTGACATTCAGCCTCCGCAAGCTGCAATCAATACTTTATGATTCAAATGCACTTTGTGACTATGGCATGTGGAAGTGCATAATGCAGTCCAACCTTCAAATACTTTGCATTCAGTTTTCTGAGGCGTTGTGTCTGACAACATGTATGAACTTTCTCAGTACATATGGAGAGGTGAGAAAGTGATCGGCCTCGCCTCGCATTCCTTCTCCTGCAGTGCTGAATGATTGGCGCTTGGGGAAAAAAGTCCTCTGACAGGAACATTTGTCTTCATCTTTGCCTGCTGCCCTCTCTGCCATATTGATCTTTCCAAGATATCAGCTGGCTGGCGTGCAGGGTTCAGTGCCAGTCAGCCTTTGACCGCTTTACTTTATCTTCCTCCAGAGCATTAAACTCATCACAACCCAAAAAAACATTTTGAAGCCTTTAAGTTTTTTTCTGACTTTTGGCCAAGATGCTGAAGCATTTGCAACATTTTCTTTTTCTCATCGGGTTATGAACTGAAAAGTTTTTTTGTTGTTTTTGTTTTTGCATGTTACAGACATTATTTATGCCTCTTAAATCCTGTTTACCAAGTATAGTCAATGCAACATGTTTGATTTGGGTCAGAATGAAGGGTAATTTATTTCTAGTTATGCAGCAGCATTTGTTGGCCTGGACATGTACTGTGAAGACTGTAAGAGGGATGAGATATAAGCTAGCAAAGAAAGAAACTTGGGGAAGGAGATGAAAAGGGAAAGGAACTCTTGAAGAGTGAGGCAAAGAGAATGAGAGAAGAGGACAAAACCAGGAAAGGGTAAGGATGGAGAGAATGATGAAAGAGAATACAGGACCTGGGAAAGGTTCATCCTGAGAGAATGAGACAAGAGATTGAGGGAGGCAGACTATGAAAGTGGAAGATGGAGTTGAATCCCATGGGGTTTCCTTTCTTGTAGCAGGATCCTTAGTTTTATTTTCTCGAGGAGGACAGGAAATCACTCATCCGCCTCTCTGTGGAGATGGAAGGAAGAGGTGGCGTAACCATCTCCCTCTGACTGCCTCTCTGACACCGCTATCACGCAGATGCCTAACTAATATCATGCGAGACAGGTGGAGGCAAACTAATGGAGGGTTTGATGCAGACGAGGGGAGTTTGATCAAACCCCGATGTCACGCTGGAGAGCCATGAACTTGGCTGACTTGACGCGTCTAACAAGACACAAGATATTTCCATATGATTTAAGTTCAAACATTTGGTTTCCAAAAAGGAGAAATATATACGACATTGGGAGCGTTGATAAAGCAGCAAACAACTATTTGCTATGTGTAGACAGAGTGGAGTAATGATGTCGCTCTTCCTCCGTGTGTGTTGTTATTGGAGCTTCTCTGGGCTTGATTCTTTATTTTTTTGTTGCCAGGCTGGCCTGCATGCTGTTAGTACTATTAGTGCACGTGAGGGTGCCCCACTGGTTAGCTCACGACCTCCGCCCTGCACTGCTCTCATACGGCGGTTACAGCTGATAACACCAGCCCAACCGACAGCGGTGTCGCAGAAGCGTACTACCCTCCGGTTCCTCCTCAGATAAACACCGTTTGCTCTGTCAGCACGTTTTCCGTTGTTTGTACTGTGCTGTTAGCACCGTTAGCTACTAGCCACCGGCCATGATGAAAGGCAGTAAAATGCTCCCAATCTTGTATTATGCACTTTTAACGAACAAGACAAAGGGCACTCCACAGATTTAGCATTGCACGCTAACATTGTCGGATTAACAAGGGATGGTTAAAAGAGAATAAAAAGATATACACTGATGAAGCAGAACGAGAGATTTAACTTTTTATTCCATACATTCCTTTTCTGCAATGACAGTTTAACATGTCAATCATCACCCAATACGCTCCATATCTGTCACACTGCACCTTTACAGGACTTTTGCTGCAGCTGCTGATATTTTGCACACAAGTAATTTTTGTTAAATT